AAAATAATCTTGGAATTTTTAAGTTTATTTTTAAATAAATTGCCACTGGATCACTATCCAAAGTGATTCCTAATGCACTTTGTTATCTGCAGCTTACAAACAGGAACATAGAGAGCCTGATGTCACCAGATGCATCCTACAGGTAAAACTTCCCACATAGCTCCATTGCTCAACAGTGACTGCTGTCTTCATTTCATTCACGAGGTCCTTCTGTGTTTGCAGACTGCTGCTTTCTAGCTTACAAAGCAACTCATCTCTGAAGCCAGGTCTCCTTATTCTGCCCCAGACCACCATCAAAGAGCTGACTATCTTGCTCCTAAAAATAAACTGCACTGTATACAGCATTGTGACAATTTAATAATTGGCATAGTAGTAGATTCAGTTATTATAAAGTGTATTGCAGAGGCCAAAGGTAAAGGTCATAAGGAAACTCAAGTTTATCTTGCTGACAAAGAAAGTTGTACAATTAGAAAGAAACACTCTAGACAAGATGCACTTGGCAGGTTTATTTCTAAAACACAAACTTCACTGGCTATGCTCACGTATTGGAATTCTTGCTATACAAGGTTACATTAAAAAAAGAAGAAGAAGAGAAAAGGACACTGGTTCATGTGTTTTTAAAGCTCTCTTTCCAATGGCAATTCTAAAATATGTGTGTTTTCATTTCTTCCCTTCTTTTAAAAAAATGCAACATATAAACAAAACAGAATTTAGAATAAGCTTTTTATTATCATGTGTCAAGCACTGAGTCCTTAAATCCAACTGTCACATTCAGCTCTTAAGATATTACCTTGGGGGCTGGGGAGGTGGCTCAGTGGTTGAGTGCTTGCCTTGCATGCATGAAGCCCTGGTTTCGATTCCCCAGCACCACATAAGCAAAAAGAAAAAAGCTGGAAGTGGGGCTGTGGCTCAAGTGGTAGAGCGCTAGCCTTGAGCTAAAAGAGCTGAGGGACAGCGCCCAGGCCCAGAGTTCAGGCCCCACGACCGGACCCCCCCCCCCAAAAAAAAGATATTACCTTGAAGAGCTAAAATAGAAGTTTACACTAGACCTAACTGTAGCCTAAATAAGCTTTCTCTGTAGACTAAAGAATCTAGAACCTTAAAAACATGTCAAACTAGTTTCATGTTTTTTCTGCCATATTTCTGTAGTTTGTAGCATTATTTTGAAATTCACCTTCTAATTACTTCAAAATGTTTATAAACAGCAAACATAACTAAAACATTAAATTAAACATCCCCCAGCTATTCTTATGAGCATCCTGAGTATCTATTTCATCCACTTCCCGTTCTGGTGCTCTAGAGTCTGAGCCATGTGCTTACAGAAGTTGCATGGAATTTCAAGGATCATATAGATCAGCTTCTATATCAGTGGTCCTAAGGCTAAGGAAAGACTGCCTCTACTCCACATTTCAACTCCATCTGACTAGTCCTTGCTCTAGCCTTGGTGTGGCTGAAATTACTTCTTAGAAGCAGAAGGTCAGAACCTTTCAGTTCTATGACACAAGTGTCATTGATCTGCCATATGCTATACTTCAGGGAAACACTGGGCAAACTGTTCTGCTTATTTATGGTGTTAGTTTAAACTGGAGTTGAAATGGCCAGAGTTGTTACTGGGCCAATGTAGTCTTTGTTTATCTCATTTTTCAGAGGTACAAATGTTCACTGCTGAGTTATGTTATAAGAGCAGCAACCATATCACCATCATTCCCTTTGTTTAGAGGCATCAAAAGTATTTTTTTAGTTTCGAAAACCAAAGCTGTCTTTCTCAATGACATTAGTAAAATGTTTCTTTAAATATCTTCAACTAAATAAGCTATTCAGAACAAATAGAACATACTCATGTCAAAAACATCTACCCTTGTACAAGATACTATGTTGAAAATGAACTTTACAACTTGGCACGGGGGTTGGGGAGGTGGGAAGAGAAGGGATGGTAGGGGAAAAACAAAGGAGGAGGTAACAATGCTTGATAGGAAATGTACTCATGTAACTGTAACCCCTCTGTAAACTATTTTTACAATAAAAAAAATTTAAAAAATCTACCCTAAGTGATCTTTAAAAGACTATGCAATAGACAGAAATTCTCTACATTCTGCAAAGCATTTCAACCTACTACCTATTTTTAAAATCTCATTTAAGTGTACACTAGTATACTAAATAGTACTACTTTAAGTGCTTACAAAATATATTTGCATAATAAACTTTAATGGATCCAAATAAATAAATCATTGAATGGAGGCTATATTTACATGTTTATAAGATCTCAACATATTGAGATAATTATAATAACTGTTTGATTTATTTTATTTTGTTTTGTTCTGGTCCTGCAGCTTGAACTCAGGGCCTGGGCTTTATGCTCAAGACTAGAGCCCTTCTACTTGAACTACACTTCCACTTCCAGCTTAGAGGTAAGAGTCTCAAAGATTTTACTGTTCTAGCTTGCTTTGAACTGCGATTCTCAGATCTCAGTCTCCTGAGTAACTAGGATTACAGGCATGAGGCACTAGTGCCCAGTGCTTTTTTTGTTTTGATGGTGGTACTGAGGCTTGAACTGAGGGCCGTATTGGTGGTGGTCCTGGGGTTTGAACTGAGGGCCTAGTACTTGACAGGTTAAGTGTTCTACCATTTAAGCCATGTCCCCAGGCCTTTTTGCTTTAGCTATTTTTCAGACAGGGCTTCACACTTTTTACCCAGGCTGGCCCCTTCTACCATGCCAACTTTTTTGTTGAGATGGGTCCAGCTAAATTTGCTCAGGCTGCCCAAACCGCAATATGTTTCCTGAGCAACTGGGATTACAGGTGTAATCCTGAGACACTGCGCCCAGCCTTAAAATAGCTTATAAAAAGGAAAAAATGTTTAAAAAACAATAATGTGTCATCCCATAAAAACTTGCACAATAACTGAGAATACAAGTGAGAGCCCAGGAACAAACTGACATTTATGGTAAGTGGTTTTCAAAAAAGGGGCAAAAGTACAAGCCCCTACTTGAAAAACAAACTGAAAAACTGAGGGCATGGCTTATGTGGTAGAACACAGGGCATTAGCACCTTAATACTCCCCAAAGCAGGCAAAATGAAGGAGGGGGACAGCTCCAAAATTCTTAGAGAATACAGCATTAATCTTTATGACCTTGGATTAAGCAAAGATTTCTTTATACAATAGTGTAAGCATAAAAAGATAAATGGAACTTTACCAAAGTTAAAAATATGTGTTTCAAAGGATACTATCAATATTTGGAAAGACAAGTCAATTCATAGGCTGGGAAAAATATTAACAAGTCTTTTTTCTGATAAGAAATATAAATCCACAACACAAACTAAAAAGATAAGGAAGTAACCAAGTGAGACAAGGAAGAATTCTTGGCACCGTGGGTCACCAGGAAATGCTGGTCAATACCACACTGATTTACAGTGAAACTGTACCATAACAGCTGGGACCAAAAAAGACAGATTTAATCAATGTGGGGACTGGGGACATGCCCAAACCCTCAGCTACCATGCTGAAATGCAAAATCACAACACTTCAAAATGCTAAACACAGTTACTGTAGTATGAAACAATTCCACTTGAGAAATGAAAACATATAGTCAAAATTACATACAAATGTTCAAAGCAAAATTATTCAATCGCCAAAGTGGGAAAGAATCCAAACCATGAGCTAATAAGCTGTAAAATAAACTATGGCAGATCCATACAATGGAGTAACATGCATCCGCATAGGGAAATGACAGACTGATACATATCACAACAAACATGTACCCAGAAAGCTTTGATGAAGCCAGACCAAAGGTTATATACTACACGCTTCCATTTATAGAAAGTATTTAGAATATTAAGAAATATCCAACACAAATAAAGAAGATGGATGAGTCATTGCCTAGGGATGGAAGGAGGAATAAAAGGAGGGGAGGGAGTCATGGCTACTAGGTCCAAGATTTCTTTGGGAGTGATGAAAATGTTAATAGGAGATGACATTGATAGTCATACAATATTGTACATATATTAAAAACCATTGAACTTTGTGGTATACAAATTATCTGCCAATGAAGATATTAAAAAATCTAAAAGATGACTTAATATCATGGACATTGGCATGTGTAAACAGATGATGCTTTGCTTTGCTTCAAAATATCACACAAACGCATTTATCTGTTTTTCAGGTGGTGGCACCTCACCAATCTCTATTCTCACAGTTTTAAATGAAAATGCATCGGTTTCCATCCTAGCCAAGTAAATGCATTCTTCCAAACCAAAAACTATTTGATGAAGAAATGCAAGAGGAATTTTGGTTGCTTTTTTTGGGGGGGGTCCGGTTGTGGGGCCTGAACTCTGGGCCTGGGCGCTGTCCCTCAGCTCTTCAGCTCAAAGGCTAGTGCTCTACCACTTGAGCCACAGCACCACTTCCGGCTTTTTTTCTTTTTGCTTATGTGGTGCTGGGGAATCGAACCCAGGGCCTCATGCATGCAAGGCAAGCGCTCTACCACTGAGCCACCTTCCCAGCTCCTGCAAGAGGAATTTTAATTTTTGATTTTCAGAGACAGAGACTAGAAAAGCAGTCACCCATGTAGAAGGGATTAGCTGTCACTCACACAGGAAGAATCAGCTGTCATACAGGAGGATCAGCTGTCACTCACACAGGAAGGATCAGCTGTCACTCACAAAGGAGGGATCAGCTGTCACTCACATAGGAGGGAACAGCTGTCACTCACGCAAGAGGATCAGCTGTCACTCATTTAGGAGGATCTGTCACTCATGTAGGAGGAACAGCTGTCACCCATTTAGGAGGAGCAGCTCTTACTCATACAGGAAAGATCAGCTGTCACCCATGTAGAAGATCAGCTGTAAATCTAGGACAGGTTAAGGCTGTGCGTCCCACACATTAGTACTGTGGACACTTTTATAACTACTCCAAGATAGGACAGCCTTGTAGTTTCATTACCTTTCTCTTTCTCAAACTGTCTTCTAGAAGTTCACACTCTTGAACAGACACACAATGATTACCTTCTTCCCTCCGGTCACAAACTGCTTGCAACTGGATCTCACAAAGTGGGGGTGCACAGCAACGATCTGCAAGAGAACAAGGACCAGCCCTTCTGAGAACAGTTCACTATACACCATGAGCATCATCAATGCCCTAGTGTCAGGCAGTGTGTTCAGCAACATTCTGAATTGACTCAGGACACCTGTCTTCTGCTCTGTGTGAAAAGTCAGCTCAGAGTCCTCAGGCCAGGACCACAAACTGCTCCCCTTCAAGACCTATTCCACTCTGCAGCAGTGGAAATAGGCTGAGCCTCACCTCTTTCCCTGCCCACCCCCCAGCTCTCAGGCATAGTGCTGTCTTCTTCCTCAGGTTACCATCCTCCCTTCCAGAAGTACTCCCTCTCCTTTCCTCCTCTCTCCTACTCATTCTTACCATCCATCAAACACAACGTGCAGAAATTACCCCTACATCTCCTTTCTTTGCCCCCTGTCATGTATCCTTCTGCCTCATTAACAAGACTTTTTGAAGGCAGCATGCTCATTGGGTGTTTCACCTCCCTGACTTGCAATGTACTCCAGGATGACCTCAGTAAGGAGGTCCATAACTTGATAATTATCGGATAGCATACCCCTGAACTGTCTTCCCATCCTCTAACCAACGTGCTATCTTTGGCACTGCTACTGCTTCTATTAGAGGTCTCTCTCTATTGGTCTCTTTTGATGCTGCCCTCTGAATGTCTTCTGGTCCTCCTCAGTCTTCCTTACCATTTTTTTAAAATTTCTGTTGCCTAGGAGTGCTTTGGAACTTCTTTTTAGGGTTATATACTTAAAAACTGGGTATACTCTTAAAATGCTCCCCATCTTACTCAGCTGTGATTATCTACTGTGTCTTTAAAGGAGACTCTCCATCTTGAGGTCCTAAAATTTCCACAGGTTTCTACTGGATGTATTACTGACTTAAATTCAAGACCACATGAGCAATACCCTTATGTGAACTGTCCCTTGTTCCACTAGATGGCATTCCCACACACCACTGCCAGAGCAAGAACCTGACTCAGCCTCATCAACTCCATTTGTGATCACTCTGATCCAGGATGCCTCTAAGTCTACAAAGGAAAGGCTCTCTCTGTTTACTCTGTTCTATTTAGAATATGTACCATCATTTTTTTTATGGAGCTCCTGTAACATTTGGAGTCTCACAGGTACTAGATAGTCTCTCTTCTCCCATCCCTCCAGTATTCATTCTCGATTATATTTAAACCACCCTCCACTTAGCCTTCTAAAACATGTCAGATCTTATCTCTCCTTCACCTACGGTCAACAAACATTTGAATAAACAAGTGAAAACTAACAAGGTCCACATCCTCTAACAAGTCTAATACTTCAGTGTAACTGTTACTTAAAACTGGTCTTCTGCCTCTTGTCATGAGACCTGCAATCTATATTGAATATAGTCACTGTAATTATTTTCTTAAGCTTAGCTTAGTTTAAATCACTCTTGTTCTTAAAACACTTGCTAATTTCTCCTTGCCCATTAGATGGAATCCAAATACCTCTGGCTCCGATACAATGCCAGCTCCCACCTTCTTCGACTGTTGTCTTGCCAAATCAGAGCTTGATACAGCATCTAAACTAGACCATTTGCTACTCACTGAACACAGCTTGAACTTCCAGCTTCTGCACTTCTATTCTTCCATGGGGAAAGTCTGCTTCTAAGTATGACACTACTCACAAATTAAAGCTCAAATATCACTCCAAATGAAGTCATCACTCCAAATGAACAGCTAAAAGAGGCTCTTTTCAGTTTGGGGTTCCTTAAAGCTCTTTTTGTATTTTCCAGTCTTTAGTTACAGATGTTGGTGTGTGTGTGTGTGTGTGTGTGTGTGTGTGTGTGTGTGTGTGTGTGTGTGTGTGTGTGTGTGTGTGTGTGTGTGTGTGTGTAAGTGAGAGAGTAAGTGACTTCTAATGGGTGAAGTCTCCAAGCACAGCCTAAGAGCACAATCCCATCATATGCTTCTTGCCACCCTCACAGTACCCAAAGGTATTGGTGTAGCATAGTGATGAGTGAATCAGAAGTAACAGAATTACCATAATTTCAATCCCTGAGCTGAGAAATTCTTTGAAAAATTAAAGCTTCCTAATACTTACTTTAATGGGACAGTCAAATGTCTCATGAAATTCTTCTCCAGAATATAGTCCAAAAACCTGCACCTGTAAACAGACCATGCCTTTCATCACCATAAGAAGACAAAAGCTGCTGAGTCAGCAGAACATACTATCAATAATTTTAGAAAGTAAGAAAGACAAGTAGAACACTTAATAATTCCGAGCCCCTGTAACCACTACTACATATCCAATGAACTCAATCCATTCAGGGAGACAGTAGCTACTGTAATTAAGATTTTATAGGATTCCATCGATAGAGTCTCCACTATTCTACAAATCTGTTTTAGTAAATGGATTCAACTTTTAAAAATGACACAAGTATGAAAAGCTTATTAATATTCTTTGAATGAATATCTCATTGGCTATTCTTAAAGCAATCATTTTTTTCACCCCTTAAGGAGAACGGAGCTTCTTTCTTGAGTCATTCATATATAAATCAGGCACCTAGATCAATGTGGTTGGTATGAGATGAGATAAACTTCATTTACAATCTTACATGGAAAATACTGAGAATGTATCAGGGAAAGATGTAAGTTCCTCCTTACCAATTCCTACTTTAAGGCTATTGCAGGCTATTTTGTTCATATCTGTATTTTCCATGCAGCTTTGCACATGTTTATGACACAAATCTAACCCTTCAACCATCACCCAAATCAAATCCAAACTGGGTGCAGTAGCATACACCCACAATCCCAGCACCTGGGTTGCTGAGACTAGAAGACTATGAATTAAAAGCCAGCCCAGTACATAGAGTAATTTCTAGGAATCCCTTGGTGTCTATACAGTAGACAACATCTTCATATTAACCACTACCATACAATCTATCACCATGCATAAATAAATCATGATAAGGTTTAAATTTTATATAAACAGAATCACATATTATCTCACTGGTTCTTCTACTGGACATATTCCTTGCACACTGTTGTATATAGCAGCAGTGAATTTTTATCATTGCTATATAGTATTTCAATGTATCACTACATCACAATTCATGTATTCCTTCCACTGATGACCACCTGGGTATTTCCGGATTGGGGCTGTTATGAATAGCACTGCTATAAAACAGTCTATACTACCTGCTCAAGGCTAGTGCTCTACCACTTGAGCCACAGCACCACTTTCAGTTTTCTGAGCGGTTTATTAGAGATAAGAGTCTCATGGATTTTCATGCCTGGGCTGGCTTTGAACCGTGATCCTCAGATCTCAGCATCCTGAGTAGCTAGGATTACAGGCGTGAGCCACGGGGCGCCTGCCTTGTTACTTATACTCTTAACAGCAGAACATGAGAACTCCAGAGGTTCTCAAAGACTTGGAGCTAACTAACAGTAATAGAAGCAATAGAGACCCCAGTGTGATTTCCTACTTAATTAAAAAGTGCAGTTATGCTAACACAACCTGTCTTTCTCTGCATCCACAATGTCACAACAGGTGTTGGGTGAAATCTTAGTCTATTACTAATTTACATCTCTAAATGCTTCAACAAGCTTCATCTCTGATTATATTCATGGTTACAATCCCCAGACACTGAGGGCTGGACCCCACCCTAGACAAATTAAATTACTTCAATTTGGGATGAATGCTATTTGTGAAGGCTCCCTCAGGACAATACACAGCCAGAGTTGCCAAACTTGGTCCTCCTGGGGCCCTCAAAAAGGCCTAGTGAGGGATGGGAGTAAATACCACCATGCTTGTTTAATGAACAATTCTGCAGAAGATAAACCACTTGCCTAAAGTTCTAAAAATTGTAATCACAAGACTTAGGACCAGAACTCAGGCCTTAGAAGCCTGTTTTTCTACATGAGATCTTTATATAAGACAGCCTAAAATCTGCAAGTAAGAAAGACATCATTCCACATGAAGGATTAGAAAAGCAGAACAGAACAACAAAGAAAAGTCTTAACTATCTGCCAAACTTCTGAGATTGAAGCTTCAAGACAGAATTTGAAACAAAATGAAGCAGATTACTCATTTAGATGGCTATCTTGCCTTCTACCTCCAGACAGTAAGAGTAATTTTTAGAAAACAGTGATGAGCACACGGGCTGAGAGTCAAGTGGAGAAAATTAAATTATGAATTGCCAGGGATAAAAGTCCCTTTAAAAGTCATGAGTCCGGGGCTGGGAAGGTGGCTCAGTGGTAGAGCGCTTGCCTTGCATGCCTAAGACCCTGGGTTCGATTCCTCAGCACCACATAAGCAAAAAGAAAAAAGCCGGAAGTGGCGCTGTGGCTCAAGTGGTAGAGCGCTAGCCTTGAGCTGAAGAGCTGAGGGACAGTGCCCAGGCCCAGAGTTCAGGCCCCACGACTGGACCCAAAAAAGAAAAAGAAAAAAAAAAAAGCCATGAGTCTAGGAAAATAAAATAGTACAGTGATGAAGAGAATAAGGTGTATTTGCAGAAGAATGAAAAGAACAGAGGATGGCACCAGCACTGCTCTCAGTTGGCAGGCACTGCATTCCTCCCTCCTGGGGAACCAGTCAGGGTAAAAATCATGAAACAAGCAAACAAAACCCAAAAGAGTACCTGATGAAGGGAGCAAAGTGAGATTAGAATTCAACTCAAAGCTGGGCTCATGCCTTCAATCCAGCACTCTGGAGGCCGAGGCAGGAAGATCAAGAATTTGAGGCCAGACTGGGCTATATAGCAAAACACTGTCTCAAAACAAACAACCATGAAACCTAAGCAGAAAACAAGGAAGTCAACTTCTATTCTTGAGCTTGAGTAACACTCTCCTTGACTACAGAGAAGTAAACTTTATACAGCACATCAGCCTCAGAATGGAGGTGGTTTATAAATCCATTGGTGCTTCAGTACATTTCACTAATGTGAAATCCCAGCCTAATGTAAGTTAGGAAATGAATATGTGGTGATAAAACACAGTTGATATGCTCCTGAGCAGGCCTCCCCAACTGCCTACAGAGGTAAGGTGGGCAGCAGAGTGGGTGGCAGCCCAGGCAGTGGACTACAGGGCTATGCTCCTGCCTCTGGGTGATATTGCCTCTTGCTTCACCAGACTGAATTCCTTTGAAGAATTGAGAATAGATGGAATTGAAGTAATAACCAAAATTGTACCTGAAGTAATACCTCAGTATATGATTCAAAAGGACTTACTGCATTCTAGACAAAATGAAGAGATAGCAAAACTAGTCATAACTTAGCACAATTACAAGGAGAATTTATGAATGCTGCTGTCTAAGCTGCAAGGAAGGACAAAACAAACATACTTCTGAGACTTCTTAAAGCAGTAGGCTGCATCAGACATGTCTCCAAAGGGTCAGAAAAAGGCAACAATCATCTCCAAAACTTTGAAAACATTTCCACCAGAATTTTACACTAGAGGCTAGTTTAGACATAAAGGTAGTATATGTGAGAAATGAGAAATAAACCTGGTAGACAATAAACTAAAAAGTTACTTATAAATGTATGTCAGTAAGGTGAACTTGAAAGGTTGCTTATGAACATATGTTAATAAGTTGAAATTGAACATACACATAGATTACATACAATATATACAATGTGGGCATGTGTGGATCCCCCAATTTAGAACTCAAAGAAAGCTATGAGAGAAGAAGACCAGAAGTGAGTACCAGCTCAATCAACTATAGTTTAATCAACTGCTAGAATTACAGCTCTACAAATGAATGCAAACATCAAAGGTCGTTATTGAAATATTGAGAACTGTTTGCTCATGAGTCTTTTTTTTTTTTTTTGGTCAATTGTAGGGCTTGAACTCTGGGCCTGGGCACTGTCCCTGGGCTCTCCATCTCAAGGCTACCACTTGAGCCACAGAGCCACTTCCAGCTTTTTCTGTTTATGTGGTGCTGAGGAATCGAACCCAGGGCCTCATACATGCAAGGCAAGTACTCTACCACTGAGCCACCTTCCCAGCCCCTCATGAGTCTTAATATAGAAAACAGAGTAAAACTTACAATGGCCCTTCAAAGGTGCATTGGAAAGCAAAAATAAGAAAAGAAAGCTCTAGATATTAGATCAGAAGACCTGTGGCCTTTCTGATTTTATCTTTATGACCACTGTGTCCACATTCTTTTCAACAAGCTCCTCAATTTTCACAATAACAGCTGGTCTATGGTAAGGGCCACTTTACACAAACATGTTCACTGTAAGATTTTCAGTTCTATTAATGCTAAATAAAATATATGACAAAGTCATTTTTCAAAATATGTCACATCCTTTAAAAAAAAAAAACTAAAAATAGACTACCCTATGACTCTACCACTATTGGGCAAATATCCAAAGGAACGTAAGTCAATACAAAAGAAAGACACTTGTATACTTATACTTATCATAGTATTGTTCACCACAGTAAAACTATGGAATCAGCCATTGTGCCCAACAATAGATGAATGGATAAAGATGACGTTGTAAAAACATATTATGGAATATTACATAGCCATAAAAAAGGTAAAATCCTGTCATTTACAAGAAAATGGGTGGACTGTATCATATTGAGCAAGACAAAAAAAACCCTCAAAACAAGATATCATATATTTTTTCATTCATATTTAGAAGCTAGAACTAAAAGATAATTCATGAACTTGAATCTACATATGTATTATTCCTGTATACATGATTAGATAGACAGAACAAAAGTCTAAAGGGACTACTTAGGAGAAGGGAAAGTGGAAGGTAATAGAGAAAGAGGGTGAATAACTTTGAGATATACTGCAACTCAACCAAAGCTGTTACCAATAAGGGCTAGGAGTAGAAGGGAGAGAAACTGGCTCTGTTGGGGGATGAGTACCAGTGAGAGGGAGTTGGACTAAGAGGGTGAGAGAGGATGAAATGGTCAAAATAGACTGCCGGCATGCGTGGAAATACAACTCCACAAAACCTATCACAAGTCTATATAAAAATATAGCAGTGAAAGCCCCTGCTTTCACTGTATTTGATGTTGGTATAATTTGTGGAGGGGAAGGGAAAAACAAATCGTTTAAATAGGAATACAGGTGGACCCATTGTAACAATGAGACATACAAGTCGCTATGTCAAAAATGAACTTTACAGCTTTGGTGGGGGGGAGGAGTGTTGGATGGGGGGGGCAGGGGAAGGATGGGATGGGAAGGGGAAACAAAGGAGGAGGCTACAATGCCTGATAAAAAATGTACTCATTATCTTGCTCATGTAATTGTAACTCTTCTGTACAGTATTTTCACAATAAAAAAATATATAGCAGTTCTACATTTTGCTCAAATATGAAACCAGAGGTGTTTGCCCATAGGTGTCATCATTTCATGCATCAGAGTCTTTACACAGTGACAGTCTTTATATTTAGGATCTTTAATAACAACTCTTTAAAGCTCTGAAAGTGTCTCGAAAACATTTGTTTCTGGGGCTGGGAAGGTGGCTCAGTGGTAGAGTGCTTGCCTTGCATGCATGAGGCCTTGGGTTTGATTCCTCAGCACCACATAAACAGAAAAAGCTGGAAGTGGCGCTGTGGCTCAAGTGGTAGAGCGCTATCCTTGGGCAGAAGAGCTGATGGACAGCGCCTAGGCCCAGAGTTCAGGCCCACAACCCGCAAAAAAAAAAAAAAAAAAAAAAGAAAGAAAAAAAGAAAACATTTGTTTCTAACTCCATAAACAAATATTCTTTTTTTTTTTTCCCCAGGGCTGAGGACCGAACCCAGGGCCTTGCATGCGCCAGGCGGGCGCCCTTCTGCTGGGCTAAATCCCCAGCCCCCAAATATTCTTGTTTTAATTAACCTGGTACCATTCTGGAAAGAGTTCCTCAAATTGAAAAAAAAAAAAAAAGATTACATTTCTTTGCAGTTAAATACTAGGCGCATACATACGTTTCAATAGTATGATTGATTTTTCTCAATTTCTGCACAAACCAGCTCCTCTCCCTCATTATCACGCTCACCTCAGAATTTCACAAAGTCCTGTAAAACCTGATATGCTTTCAAAGACTTTCTGGGAAACACTAGACTGAGATATAGAAAAAAATTTCTTATGCATGAACAACAGAGAGAAACGGGTATCTCTTTAACATTGAGTATACTGTTTTTAATTTACTCATTTTCACGGTCCTCTGAATTTAGAGCACGTAAAAATATACAATTAGATTAGGAAATTTCTATTCAGTAAGGAATACATGAGGTTTATAACAATGTAATCTCTTCTTAAACTTTTACTTTTCAAAAGTAGCTTAAATACACAGTGCATTAGAATTTTATCATTGCAAACTCACATTACAAAAGACTTCCATTGACTTAAAAACAAAAAAGACATTCTTCTAAGTGGAAAATCAATCACCACAAGCACTAAATGCCACAGCTCAACATCAGCAAGAAGCACTGATAATTGTTAGTTATACACTGCAGAAATGATGTATGTCCTCAGCCAAGGAAGTAGGTGCCAGGATTTTAGAAAACTGTACATATATTGATTTTACATTTATTTAATGTGGCCATTGTAAGACACTTTATTCTTCTGATAAACTATGATTGCTTATCAAAAGATTCTATAATTCAAGAGTAACATTCATAACTTGTGTGTGAAAATGAAAACCACCAGCCCACAGAAATCATGCCCACAAAATCCAATTTTGTGGATTTATGGCAGAGAGGAATTAAACTACTGTCTTGCAGGAGCTGCAGGCCAGTCACTGAAGTCTAAGTGGCACCCAGTAATGATTAAGGTGACATGCCACCCTGCCACAGCTGTTAATCAGCTTAATACTAGTTAGATTATTGACATTCTTGTAATTACTTTTCCTAAGGCACATTTGTGCAAAATATATTTTACTTTAATTATGAGCAATCGGAAGCAAGTCCGATACTCAAAGAAAATAATCAAAGGTTCTTTTGATGCAGAGGAATAGGAAGCTGAGTGCAGTTCTGATCACCTGGGGTCAGGCATGATCATAGGCGGCATTGCCAGAGAAGTGGGACCACCTCTCCCTATACCTTGCCATCCTCGGAACACACGCCCATGTGCTCTCCACTCTCATCCAGGCTAATCTGGTTTATCTTCACGGGGCTCTGAAAAACAAACCAAAACCAAAAGGATATGTAAAACCTCAGGAAAAACAGGTATCAACAATAAATGCTTTACTTTATTAACATTCACATGGTAGAATCAGTGGTTTATCTGTTTTCATGCCAGAGTTCATGACATATTTTGTTTTGCAAATAAAAAAATAGTAACATGTTTAACATAACTATAAGTGCAGCTTTAGGGTGTATAGTCTAGAATTCCTGTGCCTTTAATATAGTAGTCTCCATGTATGGCTATGTAAATTTTAAAAGTACTTATTACAATTAAGTCATTTTCATAAGTCAGTTCTTCATTTGAAATACATGTGTCAGTAGTTCAACAACCAAATGTGACTAGGGGCTGCTGAAAAGTCACAGAATTCCCATATTATCTTCTCGATGCAGGAAAATCTATTAGGACAGTGGTGCTGTACACCTACAAAGCAGACCCAAAGCAGAATGAAGCCAAGCAATCAAGTGCTCAGTGCAAGGTTCTTCATTTCAGCCTATATTTAGGGATGTGCTTCATTTTCCATACACATGTCAGAATGTAAGTACTTCATTCCTGGACTCTGACCAAAAGGTTCATGGTCTGTCCTAACCGTGTCTCAATCACACTGTATCATTTCCAAAGACCTGCATACACCTTCTGTTTCCAATCCTGGAAGACAGTAGACCTCTCAGGATGGTACCCCCACCTCCTAATAAGGAAAATAAATCTACATGAAACTACAGAATAGGTACATAGAATTACAGAATACATCCTGACATCCTGTCCAAATCCGTAGCAACATTTTGTGGCTACACCATACAATGGTCTTCCGAGGACAAACTTATTACACCACCATGCCATTGAACAGAAAGCCTGTGTTGTAGCATATATACACTAGTAACACTAAAACAAATCATGACTATGAGGCAGAACATGCTCCTTCCCTCATCTCTACTGGCAACAGACTTTTTTAAAACTTTTTTTCTGTTAGTGATCAGTATTCATTGATTCATTTCCCTGACTACTAATAAGCATAAGCATTTTTCTAAGTCTATGGGCCAATTAATTTGATCTTGTATAAAATATGTATAAAATGCTCATTCACATCTTCTGCCCATTTTTCCTTACAAATATGTTTCTTTTTTATGTTCATCCATACATTGTATATCTAGTCTTCTATAACATGGTATTATATTATTTATTATATTCAAGCCTTTAAATCCTCTCAGAAATCATTTTTTTAGAAATAGATATGCATGTAGCCTACGCTTGAAATGTGATTATCATATAATAAATATTTACATACACACTGCCAGGTACAGTGGCTCAATGCTATAATTCTAGCTACTTGGAAGGCAGAGGCCAGCTTAAGATCAGACTGGGCCTAAAAATTCATGAGACCTCATCTCAACCAATGACATATGCCCATTATCCCAGATACAGAGATAGGTAGCAATGGCATATATGTCATCCCTAGCAACACAGGAAAGTACAAGTAGGAAGACTGCAGCCCAGGTCTACCTGGGTACAATGCAAAACCTCCATCTCAAAAATAACCACTGCAAAAAGGAGCTAGAGGCACGACTCAAGAGGTAAAAGGCCTGCCTAGCAAGCATGGGTCCCCAAATTCAGTACCCAGTACTGCTAAACTTTATGAATTTTCATGTTCAATACTGATTTAAGTACAGAATATGTATATACAGATTTTGGCATTTGGTAAGGTGCAGCCTGGCCTATTTTCGTATTTTCCTTGGCTTTTCTCAAGATTTTAATCTTCTATGCAAATTTTAAAATAAGATGACCTTAGTGTTGCTCAAGTTGATGGCTGTAGTTGAATTCTAACTTTGTTTATCCAATCAGAACGTTTAACACTGCTGGGAATGCCTCTTTGCCTCTATGAAAAGATGTCACGAGGCCAGGTTTTCCTTTAAAATTTCTGGCCATTCCATTTCAGTCATTTTGCTGGATGGTCCTTATCTCTGATTCTACATCTCAATCAAGTCTTTATTTTTCTTACATTTTTATACTTATCTTAAATACTAGTAATCTTCTCCAGGGCAGAAATGACTCCTATCAAATCGGTAGCTCCAAACTGAACTCTCCACATTCCTGACCAACATGTAAGATTTACTTATTTATGTTCTAGCATGCATGCCTAACAGGCATTGTAATTAAAATGTATCCTAAAACTAAGATTCTCATCTTTCTTCCTGGAGAGGGTCTTCTTTGTTTTGAGTTCTTGGTTGGTAGTGGTGTTTGACAGTACTGGGGTTTGAACTCAGAGCCTTGTGCTTGCTAGGCAGGCACTCTTCTCATTTAAGCCACAACCTCCAGGTCCCTGAGAGGCTCTTCGAATGTGGTCTGCATCTCAGTTAATGCCTTCTACCTTTCTGCTTGCTCCAGGAAAAAACCTTGGAGACATTTCTTACTCCTAATCTTGTTTCCTACTCTATATTGGATCTGTAGGTAATTCCTGTCATCTTTTCAGGCAAAATTTATCCAGAATGCTCTTTGGCTGATTTTTGAACTGCAGCCTTTCCCAGAAGTCAACCTTTATAAGAGTATAAGAGATTTCCAAGAGGTCAGCGTGTCCTGAATCTGATGACCAAAAGACTCCCCAGCAGAACTCGTGATCTGAAGAACAGTGCTCTCAAATCATGAAGTTAGGATCACTGCAGGTTCAATGTGACCCAATGTTTACAAATATTACCTCGTTTAGACATACGTCCTTTAGGACACTCTGAAATATTAGCACCAGTTATAATCTGACTGTAAAATATTATTATTAAGTTGCCCCTTTCGATGTTCTGCTAGCTTTCTACAAGTATTTATGGTATTTGTAATCAGAAGATAAATATTTCAAAAACCTGATTAAGCAGCAAACTCATTAATCCCAAAACAAAAAGAAACCAAAATCAAGATTAACCGTTAAAGCCATCTTTCCAGGGAACTACAGCACATATTTTGATTCTGCATCATCGCTATGCATATTCCATTTACATAAAAATTCTCTAACATGTAATAAAGAATAAGATTTAATAAATAATAGGATTTCAAATTACAATTGTCAGTGGTGCTTGCAACCAGCCTGCATCCATAACCATTGCTCTCATGCACAAGAACAACTGCCTGACATATCTGCTTCCTCTGTATCTGGAAACAAAGGTACACACACAAGAAAGGAAGCAGGATGCCCACAAGCTTGAAGGGAAACCTGGCAGAGACAGAGAGATCCTGGTTTTCTGTGCCTTTTGCTGTAACAGCTGAAGAGCGGAGAGTCCCGCCTCACACACAATTTGAGATGCATATTTGCAAAGGTGGGACACTGCAGCAGACATGAAAAAGGGAAGGGGACCAAAGAAGACCAGAGAGAAATGGTCTCAGCTGTATTTTCCATTAGCTACAATTTTGTTCCTAATGGAGATATGTTTGGAATTCTGGACAAATATAAGGGAGTCTGCTCAAAAATCAATAGTGTCAAGCTGACAGTATAGAACACATGAAAGTGTTTCCTCAATAGAATAAAGAAAGCAGGAGGGGTGACGACCAGAACATACCACTAAATCCAAGTCCACTACAGGTGGTCTCAAGTTCTTAAATTTAAAGAAACAGGTTACACCTCATGTGATAATCAATTACCTAATAAAAATGCTTGAAATAAACACACTTAGTATGGATTATGCCAGCTCTTCAGTTAGGAATAAATTCATGGTCATTTGAAAAGCTGCTTTTAATGGTGTTCTTCGTGGCAACTTCTTTTCCCCTGACACTGCCCCTCATCCCACCTAAGCTATTGGCCCCCCAACTGTGAACCTAAGAAATCAATCTGCTAATGTATAATTTGTAAGGCTCCTCTGACTAACAAATGGATAATTGATTCCTTCACAAATGCTACATCCCCATGGACATAGAGTGGAAAGAATAAGAAGCAGGAGACAGGATTTCATTTTCCTGCTCTCAGAGATCCACTGGTTAGCAACCTCACCGCCCAAGGCAACTGCCTGTGCAGCCTCATGCTGTTTAGTCACAGTTAGCGAGCAAGCCACACTTTCACTCCAAGTGTGAAAAGCAAAAGCCTGTCCCTTTGTCCTTGGGGAAGCTCATCTTTCCCTGTACTTTACTCTCTACTGAGGAGACACCCTGGAGGGCTAGCAAGTACCCACACGGACAGAGAAGCCAATCATAGGTATTTTACAAATCAGCAAAACAAAAACAAAAATGTTCATTTTCTCATTCACTTACTTTAAAACCATCGGGGCCCCATCTTTAACTAAAAACTCTCAACCTTTAGTGTCTGTAAGAGTTAATCTCTACTTTAAAATCCTTCTTCGATTCAAGGCGGGGAATAAACTAAACCACCAAGCAATCTAGAAACCAGGAAACTTTTGTGACGCTTTCCTGAAAGTCTCAAATTACTACTGGCTTAGTAAGTTTAAGAGAAGATATGTAAGGCTCCAGGTATGTCCTCAGCAGAAGTTAGTAGCCTTGTGTCCCTGGGTTGCTCCCTTGTACTAGGACAACTGGCTGATGTTCCCATCTCTAAAGTGTCAATTGCTCCTGCTAAAGTCACCAGGACCTTTCTGAGGCTGAAGCAACAGGAGTTCATTCTGCCTTTCTGGGCTTAACTGCCTTGACATTGCTTCCAGCAACCCAAAGAAGCTTGAGTGTGAAGATCACAGCCCAGCATAAAGCAAGACCATACTTTGAAAATAAGTCACCAAGCCGGGTGCTGGTGGCTCACACCTGTAACCCTAGCTACTCAGGAGGCTGAGATCTGAGGATCGTGGTTCAAAGCCAGCCCGGGCAGGAGAGACCGTGAGACTCCTATCTCCAATAAACCACCAGAAAACCTAAGTGGCGCTGTAGCTCAAGTGATAGAGCGCTCGCCTTGAGCTGAAGAGCTGAGGGACAGTGCCTAGGCCGAGAGTTCAAGCCCCACGGCCGACAAAAAAAAAAAAGAAAAGAAGTCACCAAGACCTATCATTCGGCCCTGTCAATGTCTCTCTAATCTCTC